CCCACGCTCATTGTGTGTTTGATTTGTGCACAATGTAGGGTTATTTGTATCCCAAAATATTTAGGTTACCCTAGCATAACTTGTTTGATGTTTTTCTTTTGGGCGGAGGGCAGCTTTTAATGTGTTACTCCTAAATTAATCTGTTCATCAGAAAAGTATTCGAAATGGCAATCTCACAAATTATTTCCAAACAAAGCCTAAGTGGGCTATCTACCAAGTACGGAGTATTTTAGAAAATAAAAATACTCGGTGTATATGATATTATTGAAAACTAAAAAAAACTTTATTTTAAGCAGAAGATAGATAATTCTGAACATTATTTATTAACACAGTATTATACTTAATGGAATGAATACATCCACGGATGGCCGTTCATTCATCCCATTAATTCTACAAAACCCTTGACAATAATAATAATAATAACAATAAAAAACAAGTAACAAAACGACAACAAAAATAATAAAAATAAAACAATAATAAAAACATTTCCAGTTACACTCCACGGCGGCGACGCCGCCGTGCCCGGTCAATACTGGAGGAAATCGGCAGAAGCCATGATGGGCTGCTGGTTCATGAGCATCCATGGATTGCTGCTGCCGCCGTTGTTCATCAGATAATTGGCCTGGTGAGGTGGAATCCCACCCCCTGTCTGCTGGAAGCAGCAATCGTCCCCAAGTGAATCGAAGACGCCATTGATGGAGCTCGAGTCGATGTAGCTGAGGATGTCATTCAGAGACTGAAGCCTGTGGCTCAGCTCCATCATCTGAGCCCTCAGAACAGAATTCTCCGCCTCGATCGCCATGAAATGCTGCGTCGTCGCGTTTATCTTGCCCTGGATCTGGCCGTTCTCCTCCTTGAGCTGCGCCGATTGCGCCATCATCTCGTCCAGATGCTGCTGCTTCCTCATCCTCGACCTCCTCGCCGATTCCCTGTTCGATTGCATCCGCTTCCTCTTCCTCTCGTCCATCAGCGTCTGCAGATCTCCCTCCGAGCCGGAATTCGTGATCTGTCCGGCCGACCCTGATGAATTCCCGCTCGACGACGCCATTTTTACACCGCCAGAAACTCAGAAACACTAGAAATCGCTAAAATTACAGCCGATGATTTCACTTTTTTTTCCTTATTGCTTATTATTATATATTTCCGCCAGAAAATCTATGTAAATCTAAAACAGTCTAGATACCTAGACGATGCAGATCAGGCGGTCAATTTCTGAGAAAACATAAAACCAGTAGAGGAAGACGACGGAGAAGGATTGAACAAGATGAGCTCTGCGTATGAAAGAGTTGCTGATCATAAAACCGGAACGGAGGATTTCACTGAGAACAGGAGACATCAATCTCATACATCAAAAACAAATCAAGCAGCATCAATCAATCGTTTCTGTTCTGAAAAAAGAAGAAGAAGAAGAATCAGATCTGAATTGTTCAACGAACTTCTCAGATATGGAAGATCTGAAAAAAAGGAGAAAAAAAGAGAGGAAAACTGTGAAATGATGAAGATGAAGGAGAGGAGAAGAGTGGGAAGGGGAGAAGTACAGGTGGAGGAGGGGTGATATATAGAAGGGGATAAAAGGGTAAAAAATGGAGTGATTATGTTTTTTAGGGACCATTAAGAAATTTATTAAGGCCGGGCGGCCGCAATTGGTAAACATTTGGCACCCGATAAATTTACTTTAGAGAAAAAGGGAAAAAAGAAACTCTAACTTTTGTTTAGGGGTCAAACTCTTAATGGTTCAACACTTAATGGTTCAGACTGTTTGTTTTAGCCTCTTAATGGTTCAGATATCTGAATGGTTAAGAGATTTGCCTCTGAATGGTTAAGTATTATACAGAGTCTGAATGGTTAAGACCTTTTATCTGAATTGATTAGACATTTGTCTCTGAATAGTTAAGCAATATACTACTAGCTCTTAATGGTTCGGACCTCTTACTGGTTCAGCACTTATTGGTTCAGACTTCTTACTGGTTCAGCACTTACCCATTCAGAAGTTTTCAAATAGCCACTTAGTCTTTTTCAGTTTATATACTCCTAAATAAGGTGGTTAAGAATCTCGAAATCGTTGTCTCCATTTGAGATATCTGAATCTCGTTTTTATAATATCTCGTTTTGTTAGGGATGACAAAATGTTGTCCTGAACTTATTCTGAATTGTTTTGAAATGAGACAAGACCGGAACACATAAATATTTTCATGTTCTCTCATGTTGTCCCGTATATATGTATATATCTAGTTATTTTTATAATGATATAACACAAAAATATCATAATTTTTATTTTTCCTAATATAGATATAAAAATATCTAGATCTAAATATTCTAAAAAATAGAGTACGACCGGAACACTTAAAAATCTATACTGTTCTAACTCCATCTGTCCCAATTTGTGGCTCCTAACTTTTTATGAACTTTATATTCTTTACTTTTGACGTATGTTGTAAAAATTTTCATATTTCATTATTGTTTTTATTTTTTAAAATATTCGCTTTTTTATTACTTTGCAAGTCAAAGTGAGTTTTCTCCCCCTTATGTATTTGTATTTTTTGTCTAATTTTGAATAATGACAAAGCAGAACAAATCAAACCCGTTTCATTTTATTCTTTTCCCGAATATTACGAGATGGCCCAAACCATTTGAAGCGGTTTGAAAAACTCGTACCGGTTAAATATATATTACGACCTGTTTAAAACTCGTCCCGGTTAAATATATATTACTGACATAATAATAAATATCACAAAACTCTACCTCTCTTCTTCACTACTCATCTTCTTCGCTGGTTGTGTGACATCCAAATCTATTTGGATGTATTTCATCACATTAGAGGCATGTACACGTTGGTTTATGTTATGTTGTATAAAATACTCCCTCCGTCCCAAAAAGTTTGTTACGTTTAGAAAAAAACTGCGTCCCGTAAAATTCGTTATATTTCTATTAAAAAACCACTTTTACCTCTTACTTTTTCATACCTTACCTATCACACTATACCTTTTTTCTAATAATCTACCCTTTTCATCCTACTTTTATCCATCACATCAAGGATATTTTTAAAAAGTCAATACAAAAATATCACTCCCTTAATTTTTCCCAAAAAGTCAAACTGTCCCATTTTTTTTGGGACGAAGGGAGTAAATACTTTGGAATTAGTTGTAATGTTATAAAGAATATTTTTGTAACATGAATGAATGTGACAAGAATATCAATTATGAATCTAAAATTTTTGTTGTATTTTTTTTGGTGAAAAAGGCATATTTTTGTTGCACTGACATATTGGTTTTATTTTTATTTGTATTTAATTAAAGTATTATTCATTCATAGTATTTTTACTAAATGTTTTTCAAATATAGAAAAATAAAAGAAATCAACTTTTATCATGGGTATACCTGACCCGATACCGAGACCCAATGGATCCAAATATAGGATTAAACTTCAAGACTGATCTCGAAAATGAATATGGATCAGGATCAATTTTTTAAAGAGGAATGCTAGGGGTACACCATTTGGTGGTGTACCCCATTTGTTCCCCACCCATTTCTCCAACAAACAATTTTTTTTAATTTTTATTTGTTTAATTTTTTTTATTTTCTTGCTTTTTTATGGTGACGAAGGGGTGAGGGATAAATGGATTGTGTAGCCTCGCATTTAAAAAAAAAAAATAGGTACTGGAACCCAACTCATTGACATGCCTACTCGCGACCTAGATTGCCGAGCCGAGCCGGACGGATTTCGTCCTCCGACTCCAGCCAAGCTTCCATCCACCGGTGACGAGCTACCAGAGGCGTCCCCACCAGCGGGGAGCGGCGAGGCTGACTGCGAATTCCAGCGACGAATAGCGATCCGTGAAACTCCAGGAACCAACAGTCCCAACGGCTCTTAAACGACGACAAAGAGACGGCGAGGCTGTACCTCTTTCCGGCGAGTAGGCTGCGAGATCCGACCGGAGACCGAGAAGACCAAGGGACGAGCAGAACTGAACCAGCAGGCCAGCAGCATTTCAGATCTCAATTTGGGTACGTATATGTCAATTTTACCCCTTATTCTCCTTCTTTTACATTTGCAGAATTACATTTTTCTTGGTCTTTTTCCTCCCAATTCTTTCTATTCTATTTTTTTTTTTGAGGATTTCTATTATATTTATATTAGGAAATGATATTTACATTTTATTTTTTTTATTAATTAAAACTTCAAAATACACTATTGAGAGAAGTGATAATGTATTTTAAAATGTCAATAACAAAAAATGGGATGCAAATATCATTTCTCATTTATATTTTTCCTATATTCATTTTGTTAGAGGAGCTTCCCCTTGAAGTGAGCTCTTATCTAGAGGATTCTTTCTCGGTTTCTATGGAAGTGGAAATCAGAGTAATTTCTTCGTTCCCTAGTAGTTGATTTCCCCTTTTCCTCTTATTCCTTGGCAAATTGCATTATTGACATGAAATCTCTAATATAGGCTTGCTTTCATTTTTGTCTTGTATTTTATTTTAGTTCCATTCTCTTGCATAGACTTTTGTCTCCTTCACATATTACAATTTCAAATTAATGTTTAGTTTTACCTTGCACATAATTCCTAACCAATTACGCTATCTCGAGGTATACGATATCCTGTACTTTACCACTTTATCCATTCATTAATTATTTTCCATTCCATTTTCACATCGCTTTTTGAGCCAGGGTTTTTGGTGCCTTACGACACATCAAAAATATCCTACATCAAAATTGGTGTCGTGCGGGGACAAAAACAATTTTGAGTGTTTTGTGTTAGCTAACTTGATTGAAAAGTTGTTAATGGAAATTTGGTCATTCTTTCTTTATATTCGTTTGCTTTTGTTTTTCTTGTGTTCTTGTTCTTTTATAGGTTTGTGCAATCATGGAGGATCCTTATGATAGTTCATTCATTGAAGATCTTCAAGTGGAGCATGAACTCTAAGCTCAAATCTTCTCTCTTGACCCAACCATAGCTAAGTTTGAATATTCACTTAAGACTTTGAGTCTATTCCCATCCACCCATCAATTTCTTTATCCTCACAAGCATCTCTTCCTTTACTCAAAGTGTCATACCCTTTGTCTCACCTTTCACCTACCCCTCCTCAAACTATTAACCCTCAAACCCTCCCGTATTCCCCTCCTAATTTTGAAGGGCAATGCATTGGTTTGCCTAAAGCTTATCATATGCCTAATCCTTATAACCTTACCCCTTATTCCCACTATCCTCTCCAAACATTAATTTTCAACCTTCATCAAAGTGGAGAGGTGGTGGGACCTATGGAAGAGGATACGTCGGTGGAGAAGTACTTGAAGATTGTCATTTATAAAGGTTTGAAGCTGATAGTGGTGGGTACTATTCAATCAGTGGGTAAGGAAGAGAGTGACAATAAACTAGACTCAGAGTTGGGAGGGAACAAATTTGGTGTGACCATGGAGGAGCTAATTAAGGACGGGGTTGGGATTGACAATTCTAGCCGCGAGTCTCCTCTCAAGTCCTACCACGGAAGTGGAGGATAGTTCAGGAGTTTGTTTGATGTGTTTGTAGTTCTCTTGAGACGAGCGTCACGGAAGTGGGCTTTTATTTAAAGGATTCTTTCCCAGTTTTGGAAGTGGAAATTCGAGTGATTTGTTGATACCCATTTTCCTAGTTGATACCCATTTTCCTCTTATTCCTTCGCAACTTGCATTATTGACATTAAATCTCTAACCTAGACTTGTTTCATTGGTCTCTTGCATTTTATTTTAGTTCCCTTCTCTTGCATATCATCAACTTTCTTCTCCTTCTATTTGGCCTTGATTCACATATTACGATTTGATATTAGTGTTTAGTTGTACCTTGCATTAAATTCCTAACTCATCACGCTATTTTAGTGAATACGGCATCCATCCTCTACCACTTATTCTTATAATTAGGGGGCAACAAATGTATGAAGACAACACAGATGGCATTGGTTAAAGTCTCCTTTGCAGCTCCGCATAGTAGGTCGATCTTAGTTATTAGTTCAAGATATTCCTTGTCTTTTACATGCATGCCCTCGTGTTGTAGTTCATCAAGAGTTTCGATCATATCCATGCCACCGTCAACGAGTTAATCGGTTATTCTCCTTAAGAGTTAGTCTCAACTTGTTTGACTACAACTTTCATCTCGGAAGATATGTTCATCCCTGTCATATAGTGAGTCAAAGAAAGCTAAGTCTTGTTGTATCAACTTTGAGGTTATTCATAGGCAGTAGAGGTTTTACATTATTGCAAATAATTACCTGCCTACGGTTTCATCTTCTGATTCTGGGTTAGATTTCAAATGGCTTTGATTGCTCCAGGATATGTCCCTTGATAAGCATGTAGGGAAAGTTCATGTTTAGGCTCAAGTTTCTATGGTGATCAATGTTCTGAAAACCGGACCGGACGTTGACCCGGACAAAGCACTGGGTCAAGGGTTAACCGGTTGAACCGGGGTCAACTCGGGTCAACGACCCGGTCAAACTATAATTAAAATGTTAATATTTTATATTATATCATTAGATATTTTTAGTTAAAAAAAGTATTTAGCTTCTGTTTTTACTTCTCCATCTAGTTTTAATTCCATAACCCATATATTATTTCACAATTTCTATTTTTTTCAATTACTTTTATTATTATTAAAAATTGAGTGTCTAACACACACTTAAATTATAAAGTAATACTCTTTTTGTTTTTGAAAAATAAAGAATAGATAATATGTTTTTACTAGTTACATTTTACGGAGTAATTAAAATTTATATTTAGTTTATTGAAATGATTGAAAATATAAAAAGCGGCATATTAAATTATAATTAATAATTTAAAGATAAAGAATAATACATTAAGTATAGATTATTTATAGTTTTCTTAAGATAAAAAATAAATAATACTAATTATATATAAGTTTGAACTACTTAAAAAATTAAAAATATAAATATATTATATAAACATAGTTCTTTTTCTAAATAATTGGAAGTTTTTTTTTGAAAAATTACTCTCTAAATAGTTTAAGAAGCTAATATATTGAACATTGCATAGCATTGATAGCTAAAGCCTAGTAGCTCATTTGGTTAAGATCTCTCCTGTGTAGCTGTGGTGACCAAGTTCGAATCCTGGAATGGGATTTTTTAATATTTTGGTCTAAACCCGGGAACCGGCTGGGCCAACCCGGGTCATCCGGTTCGCCGGTTCTTCCGGGTTTGGACGGGTCAAAGCGAGGGCGGGTTTCGATGTTGAACCCGACCGGATTGGTGTCCGGTTCGCGGTCCAATCGGTTGGACCGGTCTGGTCTGGTCCGGGTTTAATAGGGGCAGAAGAGAGACTTATTTCTTGAGAACGCAAAACCTAGAATTAATTACTTTTGTTTGTATATTTTTATTTATCATTTGATAAAATAAAATATTTCTATCACTTTTTGTTTTATAAAATTATCGATATAGTTTTTAAATATGTATTTTGTATTTTTTATTTTTATACTTGTCTTTACAAAGTGTAAAGAAAATAGTTTTACAAAAAGAGATTTTGCATGTTTTTCGAAGTCAAACGATAATTTTGAAACAAAGAGAGTAGAATTTAATTCAAGTGGAGGAGAAATTTTTTTTTTAAAAAAACAAGTTAAGGAAGGTGGAACAAGAATTGAGAAGGATATCCTAATTAATGTTGACATATGCCAATTACTCAATGGCATATAGTAATACTCAAAATGTGTCTAATGATGAGTGGAAGAAAAACATGACCAAAAACAAAGGTTAAGTCGTTGTCTCGTAGATGGCTGGCTAGCTAGATGCATGCCATGATTACTTGATCTGTCAAATCAAGGTTTAGTAATCGTATTCTTTTCGAATTAAGCTACTTCTATCTTATAAATTGTACCACTAATTGCACACCACGAGTGTACACTTTCTTTTGTGCCAGTGTGAAGCAAGTCTAATGGTTCACACAAATATAAAACATTAGTGCAATTTTTCTTATTATACTAGTATTTTGTGTCACTATAAAATCTTGTGAACTATTAAAATATTGTTGCATATTTTTGGTGTATATTTTGGAGTACATTCCTTGGTGTAACTCTAGCAGGCTCTTTTTGTGAGTTTCTCTCTCGACCAGGATAAATGTACCCCAAATATTTACCCCAAAATATATTCAAAGTAAACTTACATTTTGATGACTTGCATTGATACACAATGTCAATGCGATTACGAAATTTTGTATTGACATTTTGTGTCAATGTAATTAAGCCATCAATCTCGCACTTGTATTAACATGAAATTTATGTGTAAACCTTTGGGTACATTTTGATCTACAACCTTTAGAGTACAAGTAGATTTATTCTTTCTTCTTACAATTAAACTTACACTATACTATACTCATATTTTTTAGTAGTTCTCATACGAAAAATAACAATAGAAAAAATGATAAGTTAATGTTTTCTTTCATTTTTATCACTAAAATACGAGGTTTTTTATTTTCATTTAAAAAAATCATTTTGCTTTCTCGCTTGTTTTTCTTAATATGTAGTATTTTTTTTCTTCTCTAATCAAACAAGAAAAATTATTTTCCATTTTACTTTCTTTTTTCCTTTCAAATTACCCGAACCAAATATAGTGCACGGAGTATGCACTTTTTAAAGAAAAAATGTTTTGATAAAGTAATACTCAGTACATTTATGAACCAAAAATTGTCATGTGACTTGGAGTGATACATAGAATTCTTACATTACATAAATAGCACGTTCATTATCACAAAATAAGCAAGCTGGGAGACCTTGGAAGCACACAAAGCTCAGACATGATTTTGCACCCATTGGAGCTTGATGACGCCATCTGCATGCATGGGCAAGGTACGTACATACTATGTCTCATTGTCTCAATACAAGAAGAACTATGAGACATTTTTTTTCTAGCGGAGGGATGGACTTTAAACTTTTAAGAAATCATTTTCGACCGCTATAGAGAACATATATATGCACTTGTGGAACGACGTTTGTCAATAGTCCTTCCCCGTTAGTCAACATCTGAAAATGCAATAAGATCCATAAAAGAGTAAGACATTGCGAGGTAACTGAAGGGCGTGAAATAAAGCGAATGGCAACCTGAAGTGGTTCATCATATCGCCCAACTTACCCCACAACCCTCCCCTCTTGCCCCGCCGATACCCCACTCCCAAATGAGGCGACAATTCGTTATCAACATTGGACGATGAATTGCCACTCAAATTGGGGAGGCGTACAAAGTAGGCGAAGGGAGGCGAGAGAGGCTAAGTACATACGGTGTGTGGGATTTGTGGGGTGGGTTAGGTCGGGAGTAGGAATTTAATTGAACCACGTTGGAATGGTTGGATACTTGGATTGGATTGAACGAAGTACGATAAGATCCCCATATAGAAACGTCTCGTATAATAAAATATTTTTTCGCAACTTATTTTATGAATTTTTTTATGTAGTTTTAAAAATATATAATTTCTAACTTTAATATCTAAGTAAATTTGTAAATAAAAATAATATTTTTGAAAAAGATAAGATTTTATATGTTATTTGAAATGGGACGATTTTTTTTTGAAGAAGAGAATACTTAACAATATCCTTAACATGCCACATTGTTAGGTTATGATGATTGATGAGGCACAAGTAGATAATTTTTTTTAAAAAAAAACCAATGAGCCCACAAACCGACCATGCCAAATTTTCTTGCACACCGTACGGGGTTTCCCCACTCACGGGATCTTTTGTCTCACGGCTTTCTTCTCCTCGCCGGTGGTTATGAATATAAACAAAGGGATCGGAGAGTAATTAATTAGGTGGCTCCTCCAATCATTTTTATAGGGTATTATTAGAAGCTTGATACCCTAATAAAATCATTGCTTCTAGACCATGTTAGGGTACCCTACTAAGCCTACTTCTCACGCTACCACCCACATTTCAAATTAAAGTTATTCATACAATCATACTCCATAAAAAAAATGAGTCCCATTTCAGAGAATTCCCTTAAAGCTCAGCTCGCCGGAGGATCATCAGAGAGAAGTTAAATTGAGTTTTAATCACATGTTGACTAACCAAGGTTTGAACTTGCATTTGTTACTTGTAGAAACTTTATACTTAACATAATTAATTATCTTCTAATACAGTTAACAGAAATCGAATTTGGATGTTACCCTCTTGGCACCACAAGCCTGGCCAAATGCCAACTGTGCTTCGCTCTCAACAAAGTTATTTATACTCCAGAGTTATGTCTTGGGCGTAATACAATTTGCAACACATGGGGTGTTAAAGGGTAACACCTGAGTTCAATTTTTGAAAATTGTGTTGGTAAGCAACAATGCTAAACATGTGGTATCCACGCAAGTACTAGGTGCAGGTTTCGTCCTTAGCCAATCAATCTTTGATCAGAGCTTAATTTAACTATTCTCAAGTATTTAATACTTGAGAATATGGGCTCATCCTTTATCCCTTGTAGATGGGCTCATCCTTTATTTATACTCTCTATTCATCACACTCGCACTTAACTCTTAGTATAAGGGCTCATTATGTGAGTTTTAGGATATGATATGTGTTCTGAAAAGTGAAAAAATGATATGAAAATTTGAAATTTGAAATTAATTATTTGAAGATA